CCAAATGATGTAAAAATAAAAAAGACCGATTTCCCATTGGAGAGTAATATCAAAGCGTATGAAACAATATGTTTATGAACATGTTTACAATCACTTAACACTGTCATAAATCTCTTAGCAATATCAATATGACTTTAACCCGGAGAATTCAGTTGTAAATCAACCGGTAACCATTTAAAATAATTTTAGTAAAGCTCTCGACGGTTGTAAAGTAAAGAAGAAAGGTCATATTTTGTGATAAAAATATTTCCATTTGATTGATTAGTATAGGTATAAATTAGTACGAAAAACCCACAGAATGGTAATCACCCACTCCTAAAGACGAATAACCAAGAACTTAAATTAGTAGACAGTCAAAAACATTTTGATGTCGGTTTGTTTATAACGAATATATAAGGATTTTGTTTTTATTTAAGTGTCAACATTCTTAAAAAGATAAGAAACATACTGACCGTTTCACTCTTGAAAAAACTATATATGCATTTTATAAGGTTAATACTGCATTGAAGAATACGCCGATGTTTTATTGAACAAACATGATATAAACTTAACTCAATAGCTTGATGCGGTACGCATATTTATAATGAGAGATATCTAAACTCACGAATATTGATAAATTATAGGGTGCAACTCAACGGAAAAGTGATCGGAACGAGTTAAATTCTAAGATTGAAATGTGGTCACATAATTATTGCGAACCCAATGAAAGTTTTCCACAGTGCCATCTCTATCTTGACCAGGTATTTAAACTTTTGCAAGTTCACCTGTCCTATTGAGTAAATACAATAGCTATTGTTCTCTGTGTAGTTTATTCTCTGGGACCTTTAAATTTCTTCTAAGAGAAATCTATCATTCATTGATTAAATTACCTCAGTAAAAAAATGATCTTATATGTAGACAAAAATACTTTTTTTTATACTCATTAACTGAGTGTGATGATGTAGTTATTCAATATTAATAATATATTTTCATTCAGTTTAATATAAACATTGATTCAATCATAAAAAGTTGATTTCTGACAAAACTTTCAACATTGTTCCTTTAAAAAAAAAGATTGTTTGACATGAATAAGAACTTGAAAATAATGATGTTTCAAATTAAGATCTTCTTAAATGTATTCTATAACTAAACAAAAAAAAAAAATCAAATTTCAATAGGAACATTGATAAAACTTTTGTTAGAAATTAACTGAATGAAAATATATTATTAATATTGAATAAATACATCATCACACGCAATTAATGAGTATAAAAAAAGTATTTTTGTCTACATATAAGATTTTTTTTTTACTCAGGTAATTTAATCAATGAATGATAGATTTCTCTTAGAAGAAATTTAAAGGTCCCAGAGAATAAACTACACAGAGAACAATAGCTATTGTATTTATTCAATAGGACAGGTGAACTTGCAAAAGTTTAAATACCTGGTCAAGATAGAGATGGCACTGTGGAAAACTTTCATTGGGTTCGCAATATTTATGACTTACTACCTACTACTACCTACAAGTTATTTTCGTGAACAAATACTAGACACAAGAACTTGCTTATACTCTCTCTCTCTCTCTCTCTCTCTCTCTCTTAATTTAAATATATATTTGTGACTAAAAAAGGTAGTTTACCACATATTATTACGTTGGAAATCGCATATGACAACAATATCCATACACGCTTATAAATGAAATCAATCGCTTTAATCTCCCTTTTATTTGTTTGTAATACAAATATAGTAGATTCCCATAATTGTTATGGTGCTATTTAGACGCAAGCTCTCATTTTTTGTTATTGTGCCCTTTTTGTACTAACATACGCCAAAGTTTTTGAATTTCTGATAATCCCCAACACCGTTTTGATGCCAATATCTGCTTTGTTGGTTGAGACCTTTTACCTGATTAGGAAAACAGTACAGTTTTGGTATTGGTACATATTTAAAAGTAAATGGTTCACACCATAACATGGTAGCTTCAATTACATGCTTTCCTTGCATGTCATCTGATTTATTTCATCTATTTTATTTCATATTCATATAATTTTGTTCTTCCCTTTTTTACCATTTACAATATAATGAAACTTCTTTTGTATACATGTCCCTGTCTATATCCAAACTGACAGAGCACGTTGAAGTAGACTAAGTATTCATGATTTTGTATTTCATTATTTTTCCAGACATATTGAAATAAGCAATGTTGCTTATTCTGAGCCCTATTTGTATATACTGTATGCACTATTTAAATTATTGAATTTAAACTTGTAATAGATAACAGGCTTATATTTTGGTACGCTAGACGCACGTTTCGTCTACATATAATTAGACACATCAGTGGCGTTCGATACAAAGCTGAAGACCACTAACAACCAAAAATTCCGAAAAGTCGTGCCAAATAAAATATTGTATTTTTTTCCTGTACTAGATAGTATCTTTATAGTTCGAACGATAAATGATTGCTTCTAAGATAAATTAAAGTTGATATGAAATAGAATAATGAATAAGACGTGTGAATAAAATTTCATAAAAAAAATAAATCTTTCATAACATGAAAATGCATATTTATAGATAAAAAAGATCATCATATCTATGTATGTATATTTTCACAAATTCATGAATTATTTAGATATTAAACATTGATATGTGTAGGATAAAAAGGTAATATTTGACCGCATAAAACGGAAAACGAGAATACAATCAAAGTTCAACAAAAGCAAAGACAAACAGTTTCTATAACATACTTTCTCATTCCGAAAGGTTACTAGGATAAAGAAATATTATAGTGGCATGATTCACACTCGACAACGGACTCTGTGTTGATCGCGTTGACATTATCTTGATTTTACGGAATGTATCAATATGGAGAGACTCATATTTATGCACTCTGATCTGTTGATAAAACTCTCTGAAGAGTCCTTATCTGACTTGTCTTTTCTAGATGTAAGGTAAACATTAATGAGGCACAAACCAACTAGACAAGTTTTCACACAATTGACATGATGAGAAGAGCACACGGCCTTCAGTAATGACTCACTAATTGATTGTTTGTTGATGATTAATGCCACATTCAGCACAATTATCTCTTTCTTGGCAGCAATATTTATTATTAAAGAAAGCACAGAGCCCGGAGATGACCACTGAACTCATAACCTTAGTGTTGACTGGCTAGTGATACAGTAGATTAACTCACAACCTCAAGTTGACTGGCTAGTGATACAGTAGATGAACTACCTTGACCACCAAAGCCCATTCAGTAATGAACTAGCGCATATATATCATAGTTTTATACTATGTTCATACTTAACCGGAGTTCGTGGCGATTTTGAGTATTTTTCTCAGGATCACGAGAGAATGTTTTAAAGAACAAAGATACATGTACTAATAATATTCACAATGAAATCAATTAAAAAATCCAAATAAAACAACTAAGCAGTACAGTCGCCATAAATTAGCTTTAAGAAACCGATATATATGATTTCGTTAAATAAGAATATATAAGAAAATCACGTAGCAAAATTTTATACATTACTCAATGTACAGATCAATATCAATATGAAAAGTCAAGTAACAGAAAGGGAGAAGGTGTAATATGACTTTGGTATCTTTCGTCTCTCTTTTGCAAACGTAGAAATAAAATAATAATACTAATAATAAACATAGATTAAGTTTTTAAATTACTACCTTTTGACTGATACATGTATGTATAGTATTAGTTGACTTTATTGGAGACTAATACACAAATAACTCAATTTACAAAGAATCTACTCTGGATATAAGAATACTTCCAATGAACAAAATTTTGCATTTTGATTTTTAATAGAGCAATATGTAAAGCATGTTCGTTTTACATTACATAATACAAAATTTTAATTAATGAAAATATATATAAATATAAGTACAGTCTTAATCGTCCACGCATATTCCTATTTTGTTCTCTATAAAAGAAATCGCTATAGAACTTTAGAAATGTATTCAATGCATTCTAAATTTAAACCGCCCGACTCGAAGCAATTTAAAGCGCTTGACATATGACGCATGTCAGTCAATGAAGACAGCATGTTTATCTTTAAATGTCGTTCCTTTCTTTAATTGTGTTATTTGACAGTACTGTCTCGTGCAAGTTCGCCTAACATGTTTATTCATAAGTTATTCAGTAGTTTCCACACAGGAAGACGTGTCTTCTGTTTCTAGGAAATGTTTACATAAACGGCAACTTTCTTTGACCGTTTAAAAAAGAAGCAAGTATGTTATCCTTAATCATGAACAGAAATCTTTCCACTGTTACATGTACATGTGTGTAATTATTAAGCACAACTAATTATGTACTCGTAGGGTGCTTGTGTAGTCAAATGCATTCGAAAGATATGTTTACTACTTTTACATATTTCAATCCTTTCCCGAAGGTAAACCGTACACGTCCATGAGAATAAAATACTAAGTAATTTGATTGATGCTCTTTTCATCCAAGTAAAAGCAAAAGTAAAACCAGTATGTCATGGGAAGACAGATAACTAAAGACCAGGATGTGCCACGAGAAGAACGTACAACAATATTAATATTTAACGCGACCGTCAACTATTCATTAACCCACATAATATGAAAATTGATCAAATTAAGTTTTATTACACGCATTTTGGAAAAAAAAATGTTCATTTATTTAAAAAAGTTCTTTATCAATAAGCTTCTGATATTAACTAAAATTAAAAAGACGATTGTCGATAGAATAGAAAGTTACAAGGTCCTCATGGGATTTAAATTTTGGCAGTTTTCATTTGGGACTCGTGTAGCATTTTCACACACAAAAAAAATGAAAAAAACATTACAATAGGTCATTATTATTAAGCCATCATGCCAAGAAATGAGGTAAATAAAGTGTCATCAAATAAATAAAGTACACATTTTAAAATTGAAAAAAGCTCTGGAGTAACACATCTTAGATGTTTTTATTTTGGCTCAGTTCATCTACTCGGATGAAATTTGAGCTATACTAAATTAAAATAAAAAAAAAAGGATCCTACCTTTTATAACAACTAACAGAAAGATCAATCCCAGGTGTTTGTAAAGTTTGTGAATAAATGCACTAATTTCCATGTCTTTGTTAAATCCATTGAATTGAATTTCGCTCCAAATGAAGAAACATGGATTGGCAAGGAATTAAACAAACATGCGTAATAGGCATCACTGCCGCTATTCATTACTATATTTGTAACATACTGATGCTATGAACACCGAAGATCTGTTATATACAAGGAAAAATATTGATTGATTTAAAGCTCTTGGATTTGTCTATTAAATACATTGAAAAAAATAGCAATAATTGATATTTCCATTTGAAAAAAAATATTCGAAGAATGAAAACGAGCATGGTTGCTTGTTAAAAATTTAACGGCGTTGTTATTCTTTTAAGTTATACCTTTTTTTTTCTTTTATTAACATATTTTTCAGTAGACAAACTGAGAGGTTCATAGTTTTAACATTAAGCTTCTAGGAAAATACACCTTTCAGAGAAACATAAAAATCTGAATTAATGCATTTATTTTTGAGTTAGTTAAATAGTTATACCATTATGTTTTACATAAAATTCGTGCTCATCTTATATTTGTAATTTATCCAAAAAGTAAAATAACAAAAATACCGAACTCCGAGGAAAATTCAAAACTTAAAGTCCGTAATCAAATGGCAAAATCAAAAGCTCAAACACATCAAACGAATGGATAACAACTGTCATATTCCTGACTTGGTACAGGCATTTTCTTATGTAGAAAATGGTGGATTAAACCTGGTTTTATAGCTAGCTAAACCTCTCAAAATGATAACAAAATCGGTCTTTATTTATTTGCTTTACTTAAATTTATTTTTACACGAGGTTCAATATGTCTATGATAATCATGTAATCTATGTAATGATATCTTGACTTATACCGTGATTGTCTCAGTAATGAGGTATGTATGATAACATCAAATTGTTACTCGACAAGCTACATATTGGTACATGTATTTAGATATTAAGATAAATATCAAAATCTATATTTGGGTATTCAACTGTCTCCGTTTTTACAAATAATGGGTTCTTAGAATAATATTCTCTAGTTAGGGAAAATACATCATAATTGTTGTTATCAAATGATTATGATGGTGTCATTCAAGCATTTGTAATCTCAAATCCAATCTTATATGGAAGCAAAGCGTGGATACAGGATCTGTATTTCAATCAGATTGTCATAAATCTTCCCTAAATATTTAATGATCGATCCCAAGGCATCAAACTTTCTTTGCTTTAGATCTTTATAAAATCTATTTATTGTTATGCATTAATGACAGACAGATTAACATATCTCCTGATAATTCGAAACAAAACGATATAGTATGTATATACTTCAAACTGGAACCGTTTTGCTGTTTCATTTAGATAATATATAATTGATCAATCACAAAATTGGTCGAACAGAATGTTTTCTTTTTATGGGAAAAAAAAAGAGTTTGCACAATTAATGCAAAAATTTGTTTAAAAATATTGATTTTACTATAGTCTCGCTGTAATGTATAATTGTTAAAAGCAGATTCGCTTTCTCACTAAATTAATAAACCCGGTTATTATTCAGGCAATTATAATGCATACTAAAAGCGTGTTATCTTGCAAAACAGTCAAAATGCATGCCCAAAGCTACCGTTTGTTATGGTTCAACTTGACTGAACCAATCTAGGAAACTTTTTCGACGTACCAGGGTAACTTTAATACAGGCTATGACTTCACTCCTCTGTATATACAAATACAGTATTTGTGTTAACGGGTATTTGTTCCATTGACAACAACACTAACATATCCCTTTATTCATGTAAAATATATAAATCAAATAAACTAACGAACGAACAAAAATATAGGTTGGACCTTGGAAAGAAAAGTTATATCCTAACGTTTAATTTTCTTTATCTGTTTGTTCTATATCAGGCATATATATATCGCTTCCAGTCTAAAGGTCCAGCAATCATCTATAATAAAACGTGTCAAAATAGATATTTGTAAAACATCATGTAAAACTACTCCAACTTATGACAGCTATCTAGATTATTTCCATAGATTTATATGTCCAGATCGTCTGAGGGGTAATTCAAACCATTGTGATGTCTAAATGGATCATTTTTGATAAAAACATTATTAATCAATATGAATAATAAGACATTATTATAGCGAATAAATGTAAGTTAGTTTTGTTTTTGATAGTTATGTTTTTTTCTATAAAAAAGTAATGAAGAACTTGAACAATTTTCACAACATGTACACACATGTTAATAAAATTCTAGGAAAACTTCGACTTTTTACGATAGCTTTACGCGCGTCTGGCGCATAAATTATAAGTATGGGAACTTTGACGACTCTTTAATGAGAAAACTAAAATAATTATATAACTTGTGATGAACCTGATACTGTCAGATTGGTTGTTTTATTGATTGCTTCACGAACAATGGCAAATATTTCGTCCATTTTTCAGGCCGATTTTCCAAACAGTTCATTAAAGTGAGAACATGGCTTGCGTTAAATATACTTTAAGCCTTGATGGCTCTTGAACCATTCACGTGAATTAACTAGTGATAATTTTGGCAACGATTAGCTCTAACAGACAGTACATGCATTTCGAAAAAAAAACACATTAAAGCATTGGCAAAAAGGCAGCATGATATCTAGATTACAACTAGTAAAAAAAAAACAGTATCTTAGGACTGACGTTTTCGAAGTACAAAATTCTGTTTTTGATACAATAACGAATAAGATAAAGTTGAGGGGATTTCGTCATTTAATATCAGAGTCAGATATATCATGATATATGTTTTAAATTGGTCCTTTTAATCTTTACTTCAAATCTAAAATGGTATTCAAAATTTCTTCATTTATTTCATCTAAACTGTGCAAACAGTATTTATGGTACAAATAACTAAGGATACCAAGGTAGCAATACAAAAAATGTTGGGTACATACTAGGGGTATATATTCTAAAGCTACATGTAGTGGTTAGTTAAACCTACGCACGCATGTAATGACCAACAAAAGTCCACAAAACCTGCACAACACAGTAAACAATAATTACTACAATTAATAAAAACAGCCGGGGACCCTAGGTACTCTGGCAGGGTCAGCAGTTACTGTTCCACAGGTTACATCCGTCGTGTTACTCCTGTATAAATCTGTTGAGTCGTATCTAATGATAAGACATCATACATTATCGTATTAGTACATTTAATTGTCTGAGGCTGAGTGTCTCTTTTGAGTCTTTTCTAAAATGCACACTTTACTTTTGAATAATTTATTCATTAAAAAGAAAGTTGCATGTATTGCGCGCGCGAAAATTATATCCATTACAAACCTCTTGGAATTTTTGGTCCTTAATGCTCTTCAACTTCGTACTTTATTTTGCCTTTTTAACTTTTTTTTTATTCGAGCGTCACTGGTGAGTCTTGTGTAGACGAGACGCGCGTCAGGCTATTACATTTTTAATCCTGGTAATTATGATGAGTTTATTTGTTGAGAGTTTGTCTAATTATAAGACATGTTGGTATGAATAAAATCATCAATTTCAGTTTTTTTTGTATCAATTTTGAATATTTCTTACTTTGACGTTTATTGTATAGGGACCTGAGGTGAAATGTGTCCCCTATTATTTAATTTTGTTTTTACTTAATCTTGAGACTTATATATAAAAAAAGGAGATAAAAGTCAAAATCTAACAAAGCCAACTATAGAATCAGTATACTTGTATAGCAAAATTAGCATCTACTGAATCATGAGTTCAAAAAACTATATGTACTCTGAAAGCTCTTTTACAATAAAAAAAATAACATTAAAATAGAGCGGTGTCAGTTCCATCGCCAAGGTGAGCTATGAATGCATAATTTGTTGTTAAAACGTTTTAAACATGCCTTTGAAGAAACCAAAGAACAATTTAAAATCTTGCACTGTCAGCTGATGCTCCCCAAAACGTTCATTTTTTGAGAGAAGAATTTTATTTCAAAATTTCAAAATACTAGTGTGCTTTAAACTCTGGTGGATTGGCAATCACATCACATCTCGTCTAATTTTTTATATTAGAGGGACAAATAAACATGACCTTTTCGTATTTACATTGCTAGTTTTTCACCAGTATGAATATATTACAATTCATAGCGGGCCATCACAAGACTAAATCTAAAAAAAAATATTTATATTTACAATGACCTTGGACCTGCTGATTCTAAAATCAATGGGCTCCTACCTCTCCCATCTATATAACTTTATTTCCAATCAAGGAAGGATACCACAGGCTACCATCCGAAAACTGCTTTTTTAATAACAGTAACTTAGTAGACTTTTGACCCCAAAATAAATAGGCTTCTGCCCAATCCCTATATTTTCCATCTGTATAAGTTTCAGTCCAAACACACAAAGTAAAGTTACCTTCCGGAAACCTTTTTTAAATTATTTTTCCCCTATATCTAATATAGTGACCTTTGATCTAATTGATCATACGATAAGTTTCATTCCAATCAAGCAAGGGAACATAAAGCTAACACCTGGAAAACATTTAAAACAAAACGTAATTGACCTTGACATTTGACCCCAAAATCAATTCTAGGCTTCTTACATTCCCTATAACTTCAATATATATATTTTCCATTTTCAGGAATTTTCTTCTTTTAGTCAAATTCTTTATTAGTATAAAAAAAAAATATTTCATCGTGGCCTCAGATCTTGCTGTATAACAGGATTATAGAATAAAAACAGAAAAAGATTTGACGGGAAACATATTGCAAACCAATAAAACACAACCAAGCAAAACAATTTAAAAAAAGAGCACCATGTGGTCTAACAGAATGAACCAGTGTCATAACCTTCCGACATGTACAAAATCTAATCTTGACAATAAATTCCACTAAGATCGAATATCTAACACTTACGTGCATACCAAAGTCTTAATGGACAGACAGAAGAAAAAAACCGAGAATCTTGACCTTGAAAAAAATATATGTGTCTGTGTGATTTGGATTGATTGATTGGTGTTTAACGCCAGTTTCGGCACTATTATCATAGCTATTTTGGGTGGTCAGTTTTTATTGGTGGAGGAAGCCCAAAGAGAACAACTGCCATCAGGAGAAAAACTGACAATCCTAGTCAATTAATTAAGAATGGGGTCGAGCACACCTGCAACGTGCGGGTTTC